AACCGTGTTCGCAAACTACCAACTCGATACAACCCTTAGGTAATGTATACATGATGTAAGTTAAGTTGGTGAGCCTTACGAGGAAGGTAAGACAAATTTGACAATAAACCATATGTTTCTAAACACCAAACATTTACTAACAGTCTTAGAAAGGAAAGGGGATGTGGTGATCTATAATCTGAGTCTTTATATATACTGCACGCATTATACTAGTGTGAGTGTCGTCACTCTCTATGGGGAGAATATAGCTACCATCCAATGGGCCACTCGTCATTCCATTGTACGGACTTCGCTACATTGGACGTACATACTCGGCATCACAAACGGTACTTCATTAAGTGGTTGATGTTATTTCCTTTTATGATATGTATGATGAATCATCCCATTTAATGTCAATTATCAGTCAATCGGGTATCTCATATTATTTTCGATGTTAAAGAAATCGGATAGCTCTGAATGATTAATCATGCAATGACGACATGGTAAATTCGCTCAGTGTAGATACTCCTTGGTTACCACACCCGTCCGAACCCCCTAGTAGCTGCCGATCCCTCGAGCAGTGCAAGTGGCTGTCATTTTCAAAACAGCTATTCTCCGATCGAACCGCGACCGACGCGAGTGTGTTTTTATCACGTTCCAAGTTTTTATTTTGTTTTCAATAAAGTTTACTTATTCTGTAATCGCGTGTGTTCTCTCCTTTTCACATCCGATTTCATACGCTGATTAACCGTGACTCGCCGTCAGACTTATGGAGGCAAGTCAATGCCCTCAGTGGGAAACGGCGCATGACACCGCTCCACGCACAGATTAACGGTGAAGCGCTTTGCCGATCTCGCAGCCATCGAGAAGTACGAATTCAAGCGGAAAGCTAAGCCTTCAACGTCATCTATTGCAAGTTTCACTGTTTCTTCTGACGCTGGGAACTCGGACATCAACCTGGCTTTCTACTGGCAGGAATTGCAGCATGCCCTCCGTTGCAGCAACGGAAAGTCGGCGGGTCCCGACGAAATCGGGTACCCTCCGCTCAAGAGATTACCAATGCCAGGTCAGCTACGAAAAGCCAGTGAAACAACCCGTGAAGTTAGCAAGTTCCGGCCAATAGCCTTGACATGCTGTATTGCCAAGGTCCTGGAGTGAATGGTCAACAGGAGGCTAAAGCATTTCCTTGAAGCCAAAAACCTGCTAGACCATCGACCGCACGCCTTCCGTCAAGGGTACGGAACGTCAACTTATTTCGCAACATTAGGGGAGGTCCTCAAGAGTGCCAACGATAGCGGTCTCCATCCCGAGATCGTCTCACTGGATATATCGAAGGCCTTCAACAGGACGTGGACGGCCCTCGTCTTAGAGCAACTTGTCAACTGGGGGCTGTGTGGACCCATGGTCCACTTCTTTAAAAATTTCCTGGTCGATCGTTCTTTCAGAGTCGCAGTTGCCAACACGAGGTCCCAGCTTTTCAGAGAAGAGACGGGCGTCCCACAAGGTTCAGTTATCGCCATTACCCTCTTCCTTGCGGCCATTAACGGAGTTTTCAAAGGACTGCCGAAAAATGTTTACATTTTCGTGTATGCTGACGATGTACTTATCGTAACTACCGGCCCAACAGCTGCACGTAACAGGATCAAGGCCCAGGCAGCGCTGTAGCCAGGTGGGCCAGCACGGTAGGTTTCCAGCTTTCGGCCACCAAAAGCGTTAGGTGCCACGTGTGTCCATCTCGGCACCGTGTCGGCGGGCCACCTATGAAAGTTCAAAGCCAGGCCATACCACTGAAGAAGACGGTCCGTATTCGAGCAGCACTTTAAGGCGATCAAGCAAGTCTGCCGCAGTAGGTTCAACTTGATCCGCAGCATCTCTCGTTGCCTGTATTGTTAGTCTTTTACTGGAATCTGTTTTAATTGCTTCTATTTGAGTACATGTGAATTGTAAGCCAACTCCGTAACAAAATGTGCAGGTAGAACCCCCCCTCTGGGGCACCCTATTTTATAGAGACGAACTAGCCAAGGGCTAAAAATCTCTCTAATAAAGACAAAAAAAATCAATTACCGCGTACCAGGCACAGAAAAGATACAATATTCCGAAAACGACACTTCACACAAAAATTAAGGGAAGCCAGGGCAAGATTTTTTTTAATCTTTATTTGAGAGATTTTTAGCCGAAGGCTAATTCATCTCTAGCCAGGGCAAAAAAAATATGGATGTGAAATAGTGTTGAGTGTTGATTTGAAGAACCAGCTTGGGTTTGTATGTGCGCTGCTTCTGGCAGTCCCAAGACGACCAAAAAGATCTTGGAAGCTGCATAGGACCTAGCGTCACTAGTTGGGAGTAAATTTAAAGGAGGGATTCCATCGTCAGGTTGACTGAAAGGATAAGCATTAAACATCTTCAAAATTGCGTGCTACAGTATGCAATTCATTCTTTTCTTGTAGTGTAATTCCATTATCTAATTTTGTATTTTGAAGTCTGAGATAAGATTCAAATCGCAATAAATTGTTCCTTTTGTTATAAAAATGTCTCTTGCGGTATAGCTTTATGGACCGGCATCCAGCAATACTCTGGGAAATCATCTGCTGGGCTAACAATCGAACGAATCAAAGGGTATTTTGATTACTTGTACACGCAAACCAAAAATCTATTACAATGAATGTTAGTTCCGTTTCCTATCATCCTCTGTTCATGAACATCGCAATGAATGTTAGAAATTGACCATGCAGGCGTTGTAATGGTTTTTTGTCTTTTTTATTTCGTGTTCTGTCTACGCTTTCGACTATACCAGTAAGCTTGTAGAACGACGCACATTGTACAACATTGTAGAACGACGCACACACTTGCCTCGAATCTCTCCAGCAGAAAAAGCATACGAAGTCGAGTATGCGAGAAAATGAGCGCTTCGTGTTTGCTTTTAGGCTATCCATATTCAGAAGCATGGAGAGAGCAGTGGAGAAATCACAGGTCTGATAATCGCAACGTTCGTGGTACGAGTCCAGTCGCGGCAATCTGTTTCCTATTTTTTCGACATTAACTAATTTCACTCACTACTCAATACACTCTACATTTTTCGGTCTCCAATTTTCTTGCATTGGACCACAGGTATATATATATCACATCCTCGGTTCATGCGGTCTCCACTAACATCCTCTGATGATGAATCCCACATAATTGTAGGTGAATCTTACATGCCCCGGTTGGGTGGGTGTACAGTTCGGAAATGCAAACATTCTTAACCTCCTAGACCAACCATCGTCTTGGAGGAATATGGACGAAACAAATTTAGTAATGAATCCAAGTCCAAAAAAAGTGGGTCTTGAAACCAAAAAAATCGTTAAAATATTTGAAAATTGAAAACGCTGAAAGAATCAGTCGCCCTTCGTGCCTGTGCGTGAATTAACTTGAAATAAAATGTTAACAAACTAAAAATTGATAACTGAAACTTATTTCCGAAAAAAAAGAACTTGCTGTCGGTACAGTTGGAAACTGAAAAACCCCACTATCGACAATTAATTTTACTCTCATTATGTACATTATACAAAGTGTCTGGACCAGTGCACTGTAAACCCGAGCAAAGTCGGTTAACAAAATTAAAGCAAATCGATATTAAACTTTGCAGTTCCTATCATAATGAAAACTCATTTTGATTTAAATTGTCGCGACAGAAGTCTGATATCATAGTGTGCTTTCATTATGCAGTCAAGGCTTTTTAAATGAAAGCAACTTAATTTGATGTTTTGCTGTTAACGTCTTGCTTAAAATTTAAATTAAGTTCATCTGTTTATTTGTTTTGTTTAACACATTTTAGGTCATTCGTGACTTGCCCGGGGTGAGATTTGAGCTCAAGTCTTCCAGCGGGAGAAGCATGAATGCTAACCATTTTTGCCAGGCTCGTATTCAATTATACATTATTAATGCAAAATCAGTAATCAAATTGATCTAATTGAAAGCAGTATTAGTTTTCCGTTTGATTCGACATTGTAAAATGTTGCTCTCATTTTTGCTGTGTTAACCGTTAAGTCAACCAAAATGATATCAACTGGAGTATTCAAAATAAGTTACATCATAACAGCAAATTTTGATTTCAATTTGATCTCCAGCTTTGCTCGGGAAGCGCATCATTGTGCCAATACAGCGCACTACTTCCGAACAGTGATGGTAAATATCATGTCCGTAATGTGAGAATGACAAAACAGGTCCTCCCTAGTAGCACGCTTGTCACAATCAATTGTAGAAACTTATATACGACTTATTTCAGTCATAAACAAGTTGCTGTAACTTATTGTGATGAAAATGTGCTACTCGGGCTATCACTATCATAAGACGAAACTATATGTCATGACTCATGAGCATTCCTGTCATTTTTCAATGACAAAGATCTCATTCTCATATTTTTTGGAAACGCAGCTAGCCACAGCAAAACACAATCTTTTTTGCATCGTAGATAGAGTCGTCCCCCTTGGTAAATTAACTCATTATTACATTTTTAACAACACTGTCACGTTTTGTTATGGCAAAAAAAAAATCGACGAAAATTTAGCGAAAATTTCTGTCACTGTATTTTCGTCTTATGATAGTGACAGAGCCTCCTCTGTAAATATCGCGTGGATTTTGTCATTGACAATGATATTTTCCAGCACTGACTTCCGTCCGACTCTATGTATAAAGTATAGAACGAGAGTAAAATCGATTGTCGCTAGTGGGTTTTCCGGTTTTCAACTGTACCGATAATAGGTATGTGCTTTTTCATTCAATAAGTTGGTGTCTTTGGTGCACTTATTGTTTGTTTCATACGGAAAAAGTTCGTAGCTTTCAAGACGATACAACGTAAAAGCGCACTTTTATTAACGATTATGCCCTTTTGATGAGTCCAATTTCAACTGCAAAATACAATATTTTATAGCAAATTAAACGTCCATCCAGTATTCGGTACATTACGGTTTATATTTAACATTTATTAATCAAAGTTGCCGTCTGTCCTTTGACATTGGATTACGTTCACATGCATCAAAGTTACCGATGTTTGTCGTACTTTTAACACCGATGATAGCTGTTTGAAGCTTACCAGCATTATATGTTATATATCTTGAAAGCGTTTGCCTTATTGATTATTCCTGGTAAAATCTATGTAAACATTGCATTATTTGATAGGTTAAAATGATGCTTAAGTATGAATTTGCAGCGACGCGTCATTGCCTAGAATCACTCCTCTTTTAAAGCTTCACATTTGCCGTGTACGAAACGCAAACAAGCCCGCTGTTTTCCGAACCAATATGCCTCAAATTAGTACACTTATCACATCCAGCAGACTCTTGGGACAGTGCCTCCAATATCGGCTGCAGTCGTGTTTATGTCCCATTTTCTCCGCCCGGTAAAACTCTGGTGGCAAATGTTCATCCTTTGAGTGCGATGGCCTGAAATAGGTTTAATCAATATTTGTCGTCGTGATCGTAAGTCGGTATGTACTTACGTTAGCAATATATGAATCAGATCCCCCAAGACTCCGTTATGTTCGCACAGCGGGGTATCCGAAGCTTCGCAAATCGCTCGCAGAATGCATCGTTTTCCATTGAAGCCAAGCCTGAAACGGTTTTACTGTAAAGAATTCGGCGAATCTATCGTTGCACAAACCGAAACTCACCTCTTCATATTGACCTCGATCGATCGGTAGATTTTCTTTCTGGTATAAGTTGCCGTTCGCTTCACCTCACTGAGCTGCCTTCCTGAATTCCTTTTGGTTTGAATGTCAGGTGATTCGACCCGTTTCAGAACTCCTTGAGTATAATCTGTTGCATCCGATGGCATGTTGTAGTTCATTTCGAAATTGTACGACACAAAGATGTTTCTGTTTGGAATGATCAGCGGAACCGATAAGGCAGCTAGAATCTACAAATTACTCCAAATGATCTATGATTACTTTACACAACCTATCATATCAACTTACTCCTGTAGCGCTGTTGTAGGTGTAGACGATTCGCTTCTCACGATGTAGAATCTTCGTGGCTGTTGCATTTTGACTTGCGTGCTCCACAGATTTACTAGTTTGGCAATCTTGTAACAAACTTAATAAAGCTATCAAAATATGGACGGCCAACCACATTTTCGCCTTTCATGCTGAAACACCTGCTTTAAGTCACGCCGTTTCACGCTCAAATGAACGAACTCTGCGAACGGAAATGATCTATATTTTACGATATCACGATATCGTGTTCTTACAACTATGCATCGTTTGCTAGCTTGTTACCATCGTCGCTCAGTCATCGGTAGCTGTGTTCGATGTCTTGACCAATTGTTGATTTGATACTCGTTAGCAAATTAACACCTCAGAAATGAACTGGACAAACAAATCAACTCTCTGCAGGTGTTTGTAGGTCCAGTTGTTTGGTTGATTGTAATATAGATATTTTAGATTTTGTAGTCGACATTCAAAAAAATAATATATGAATATCACAACATTTTTGCAAAAGTATTTATTTTAGAAACGGAAAGAGAGAAAACTCTTCGGTAAGAATTAAAGCTACTAAGTGCATGAAATATTTTTTTCACATAAAGGCTATTTATTGTGTATGCAGAAAACCGAAAAATGTTGATTTTATCAAAATGTGAACTGGCAATTTTTTAATGCAACGCCCCATCAATTTTTTTTTTCTGTTTTCTCTTCCAAAATCGATATATTTGATAAATAATTACAAATTCCATACATTATTTTTTCGGTTAACTTTTTGCCCAGGTGGCGCCATGCTGTCAGTAGTGGTTGAGATCAAAACTGACAGCATACAGTGATCCATTCACTACCCGTGGTGTACGGCCAATGTGGATAACTCAGAAAGAGAGTCACTTCTACTCAGTTGTATGAGAAATTTCTAAAAACTGCAATTACTCAGCGCTGAATTCCTGCAGTTTTTAGAAAGTATCCATACAACTGAGTAGAAGTGACCCTCTCTTTGAGTTATTCGCATTGGCCGTGCAGACGGTGTGAACCGGCATGACAATTTGATGCACGGCGAATGAGAACGACCCAAATTTGAGTTTAGTTCACTCATAATCGCCAAAAGTGCAGGAACTCAGCGATGAGTAAAATTTGTCTCATGGTTTTCAACCTAAAAAATCTGCCGGAAAATGAGGAAATTGACGAAAATTTTATTCAGTCTCGGAGTAGTACCAATAGACTGAGTGAATCCAATCTTTACTTTTCTCAAATTCGGGAATTTTTCCCTGGAAAATCCTGGGAAAACCTGGGAAAACATGAGGCAAATTTACTCATCGCTGAGTTCCTGCACTTTTGGCGATTATGAGTGAACTAAACTCAAATATGGATGTTAAGCATACGGACGTTAGGCATACGGACGATAGGCATAATGTCCGATAGGCATAATGTCCGATAGGCATAATGGGCGTTAGGCATAATGGGCGTTAGGCATAATGGACGTTAGGCATAATGGACGTTAGGCATAATCCGATGAATTCCAGACGGACGATAATGGGGACCTTCTATTGATTGCTGACATCGGTGACAATAATGAAAGAGCATTAAAACTTGCGACGTCTTGGACAGGCAAAGTAATGGATTACAGATGGTACGTTTGCCACAGTTCCTTGTTTGTTTCGGCAACTCGTCACTGTTCATGGAAGTATCGCTCCCTCACATCAGCAGACGGTTCCGCTAATTTTCATTCAACAGACAACAAAAACATAATCATTGTATCGAAAAGTATGGGAGTAAATCCTGGAAGCAGCAGGTATTTTTTGTTATTTAATGAAAAACCACAGAATTCACCATTCTTCATTTCATGAGCTGTTTTTTGGCATCATCTTTTATTCAACTTAGCTGTTTTATTGTTATTGAATGAAAAATCACTGAATTCGCCGTATTTTATTTCATGAGCTGTTCTTTGAGGAAAACCTTTTCTTCTTTAACAATTGCAATATGTTTTTAAGAATATATTACAACAAATGTGTGCTTTTTTTCTAGATGCGATTGATTTCAAGATATAGTTCAAAACTATGCTGAGTTTTCATTGCCAGATTAACCGCTATCGCTACTAGCCTTGGATCTAAGTAAATATCTAGCTACTTCACTTATGGTATTATACATAATGGACTCCAAACTGTGGTTATTAAATAAACTATGTTTGTATAACTTGTATCATCTTTTATTCAACGCCAATGTTGCTGATTGATGAGCCAAGCCGCGATTTGAAACCGACAATAATCTCCACGGGAGAGAACTACAAACCAAAACTGTCTCTGTTCATCAGTCACCTACCGCTTCAAGAGAAGAGCGAAAGAGTGCCCTTTACGTTTACGCCTTTTTCCGTTCATTCTATGAAATGCACAAATCCAAGCCGATACCGAGAAAACTCGGGCACTGAGTGAGTGCCGCTCGAGTTTCAGCTGGCTTGTATCACTGATTGACTGAGTCCATGGTTGAGCAAGATTTTATTGGTTATTATGTACGGATACGGAGACACGGCAAACAGAGAGAAAGAGAGTTTTTTTTTTCTCCTGCCTGCCGCAGTCCGCGTTCTGTTTCATTGGTGAAGCTTATTGTTTTTATTCTTACTGATGCAGATTTTGCTGTCTTCACCCACTAAGCAATGCTCACCTAAATTTTGCTGCGGGAGGCGAAATATTTTGCAACAAATGGACGGTTTTGCGCTAACGAGGCATCTTGAGGGCAGTGAGGGAAAGATATACACTTTCTGTTTTAATCCAAAAAATAGTGTCGCATAAAATTAAATGTACTAAATTTAGTGCTTTTGCTCACGAAGTGCTTTGTTTTTGATTTATGAAATGTTGCCCACAGGTAGAGTTTATAGTTACCGGAAATCCTTATATGCCAAGATGCAAATCAGGGTTAGAGATTGTTTTTGGATTTAAAAACAATAATAATTAAATAGGGGCTTTTCATTAACTACATAGACTATTTGGGGGTTCTACACAGTTTAATGTTTTTAGTGCATATTTTTATTGGAAATTGTATGAGCTGTGGACATTTGCCATATCTCTTGTCCCATAGATAACTACAGTAGTCTGGGGGCAAATTGATCACCGGGGTGAAATTGATCACTATGGGATGTGTTTTTGGTTAGCTTATAGCATATTTTTGGTGGTAGATATAAAGACAATTCTGATAGCATTTCATCGTGAGACTCCAATAACTGCTTTGACGAGTTTTTCAAAACAAACATGTTTTTCTGCATAAATTTCAGATTTATGGAAAAGATGTTAAAAACCATCAAATTTCATCACTCAAACAAGTAGTCATAGTACAATAGAGATTGATGCCATTAACTTGAATGCGGTATTGTTTGTTAAAGAAAATGTCTATGAATGAGAGCTATGGAAAAAAAAGTATGACAAAGTATTAAAAATATTGAGAAATCAACGACCTCGTGTATCATTTATTTATATTTTATTTCGTTATGGTTATTTTGCGGCGAATAATGAATAAAAACGGCTGGATTTTGCATTTCGTATGAAAAAAAGACTGTCTGCTTTTTTATGTAATGCTGTGTTGGTTTTCCGAAAATAGATTTTTTTTTATAATAATTGAACATCATAAAATATGAATATTGAAATTCCCAAATATGTTTTTCTCCAATTTTTGTACTAAGGCACCGTTATAATTGATTCACTCGAACATCAAGATCAAACAATACTTGCATACTTTATTTACCTGGTTTGTTTAAAGTCCACTGCTTGAAATTCAACCTTACATAGAGCAAGAATGCCACTCCTACATTAATAAACAAGTTAAAAAAATCGTGCATCCGGCATAAATGTGGAATTTTAATCTCCGAAAGTTTGTTTAAAAATAGTTTTCATTTCGGTGGCACTCTTGTTCTATCTGGCCCTATATTCCCCGCCCCTATGTAATAATAAGTAACGAAAAATCACCCTTTCCCCACAAACGTCACTTAATTTGTAATGCAAATCACAATAGATTATTTTATATTTCTTTTTCAGCTTTAAAAATAATCGTTTCCGTACTTATTCAAATGAATAATTTCAACATTCTCATTCTCATCCATGCATTGTGCGTTTATTTCAAAAATGTGGCGACCCCGACGTGACACTGAATCTATTTTCAGGTTCAACAGTCGCCCCTTTGCACGCTTACTAATAAGTTCGACAGTGAGCATGCATAAGGGCCTAAACGCGATGATCGATTCTCTTCGTCGATTTTCTCTTTTGTTAATAACTCACTAGATTTAACGTTTCTGGGTGCGTTTGCTGTTGCTTTTGATAGCCAATACAACCTGTTACTATTCTGCATTAAACAAATTCTAGAAAATTGTTTCGCTTAGCTGTAGCAATACAAAGAGAAAATCGATGAAGAGAATCGATTATCGCGTATTCGCCCTCATGCATGCTCACTGTCGAGTTGTTTTATTTCTATTGCCCCTTTATCAACGTACCCAGGTATAACGGTTATACGGTCGAAAATCTTCAAGAGGGTTTTCTTTTAGTAAGAAATAAATCACTTACCGCGTATCAGGCACAGAAAAGGTACAATATTCCGAAAACGACACTTCACGCAAAAATTAAGGGAAGCCACGGCAAGAAATATGGAAGGGAAATAGTGTTGAGTGTTGATTTGGAGAACCAGCTAGCGGATTGGGTTTGTATGTGCGCTGCTTCTGGCAGTCCCAAGACGGGCAAAAAGATCTTGGAAGCTGCTAAAGACCTTGCGTCACTAGTTGGGCGTCAATTTAAAGGAGGAATTCCATCGTCAGGTTGGTTGAAAGGGTAACCACCGATTTCCGAACTACCACGAAAGCGCTGAAAGAATCTTTTAATATGAATTTACATTAAGCACTTCACATACACCTTCTGTGTGTGAATTAACTTGAAATAAAATGTTAACAAACTAAAAATTGCTAACTAAAACTTATTTCCGAAAAAAAACTCCTAGTAAAAAAAAAACTATTAAACCGGAATTAAGTTCTGATATTCTGTCATTTTAAGCCCCTAAATTCCCCGGAGGCACCCAGAACAGGCCCGGAAGTGGCCAATGTGGTCCAAGGCACTCAATTTTGTTATTGATCTTGTTATCGAATTTGGAAGTAATGTGAAGTGTCGCATGATAGGTTTTATTCCTTCCATGTCAAAATTAGGTCCATGTTCCATATACCCTGGAACTCGTTCCGGCCATATCTCTGGAACCAGTTGACCGATTCCAAAAATATTCAATAGCTTACAATGGGACCACAATACCTATACTGCCGTTATACGCATAAGAGTCCCACTGTGCATAAGGATTGCATAGAACATGGGACAGTTATGCGTATAACGGCAGTATAGTTTGACGTTAAAAAATTTCCAAATCGGGTCAATGATTCCCGAGAAAATGAGCCCTGATGAATAGCCAATGCGTGGAAAGTGAACTTTTTTTTAAAAACGAAGTTAAACACAAATTTCTTGATTTTTTTAAATAGCAAATTTATAAAAACTGTATAATAAGAGTTTTTTCATGATACCAATAAGCTCTAAACAAAGTTTTTGAACAAATATGGGCTAAACCAGCATTTGCAAAAATAGGTCCAACCATCATCATTTTTTAGGTCCAACCAAGATCAGTATAGGTCCAACCAACATCATAATTCTTTGCTGAATAAAAACGTTTTATAAAATCATTTGTTCATAATATTTAACTTTTTATGTTATTATTAGAAACAAGAAAGATAGATCTTTCCCCTAATCACGCATTTTTCATAATTATATGTTGAATTCATAAAAAAAAATACGACATGAATATATATGAACATGACGACGTGTGAAACCGGCCTAAATAGGTCCAACCATCATCAGTTACCCTACTGAGTTTTCATTGATGCGAAAATTTGCAACATGTGTGTGTGTGTGTGTGTGTGTGTGTGTGTGTGTGTGTGTGTGTACAATCTAACCCCCACTGTCCGGCAGTGTTATTATGGAAGAAAACTGCTTTTTATTACCCTTAAATTAAAGCAGGTTTAGTCCGGGAGTTAGAAAGTGTTAGCTCTATTGCAGCTCCAGTGACCCATTTCAGAATGCCTGGTAATTCACGACCACTCCGAGGTCACTTTTACTAACAATAAGCCCCGCATGTTCACTCTACCTTTATCAAATGGATAATGGTATCATAAACACACTTCCAGATTCAAAAATATTATTTCCAAATCTGGCACGTATATAGTTTTGAAATTTATTCAAATGTATTAAATCGATTTGAATGGACATTTCTTACCAATTTGGTTTCGAATACCTCTTGATTCATCTGCTGGCAGCACTTACTGGCCCTTACCGGCGACCAACCCTTACTCAAATGCTTCAACTTCCCGGATGGCGGCCCGCTTGATTCAATCCATCTTGATGACCTTCTGTTTGCCTATCAGATTCTTCCACTTTTCGTCCTTCAGATACAAATCCGGAATAAGATCCTTTTTTTTTTACACAATCAATTTTAGAGTTTTTTTAATCATTCAAATTGATAAAAACCATAAAAACACAGAGACTTTTTTTTTAGCAAAATCAAAACACGTCATTTCAATCGCGCGGCCTACTTCGATCACTTGATGCGAAAATTTGCAACATTGATTAAAAATAGTACAAGTATTATTAAGCATGCAGCTGAATAAAATCATTAAGAAGTCGTTTCTTCAACGATTGGTTTTTGCGTATAACATTGACTCTGCCTACCATAAGCCGCAAATTGAACGAAGAAAGTTGATCCTCTGGTGGCATTTTTGCTTCAAATACGTAATGTGCACTTTGGATCAAACCAGACGCCAAAGTATTTGGAAGACAATGATTGGGTAATGTTTCTGCCCAAAAGATTAAGCTATAGTTGGGCTGAGTACCGGTTTCGAGTAAACACTACCAGTTCAGTTTTCTGCGGCGAGAATTCAATCCCTAGATTCCTAGCACAAGAAGACAAGTTATCTAGGGATCTTAACAATAGTCCTTGCAAGTCTACGGCGTTCAATTGCATTGGTGCTCTTACGGAAAACACACCGTCACCGTTCTGCCAAACAATTGTCGTTATTGCCTTGTTGAGACATGAGTCTTCGAGCAGGCCTATGTAACTAATTCTGGAAGATGAGCCAAATAGCAAACAAATAAATAATGTTTGACTCGACCTTCTCCGGTTAGCATGAAAGTTTGGATTTACCTATGTTTTGATTGGCTTGGACGGAAGAGAGTACCAGAGCTGAGCCAAAAAGTTGAGCACGTTTCTTCGGGACCTTCAGGTCTTAGAGTTACCTGTATGCTACTACCGAGGGGTTTCTACCAAGCTTGTAAGGTGATCGGTAATCAACAATTACAACAAATTATTAAAATAATTAGTGAATTTTGAATTGCTTAGTAATTTCAATGTAATAAAAATAATTGTGGGTAGTTTATGGGTAATTTCAATAATTCTTACTTCTTGGAAAATAATTTAGCAATTTTAAAAATAATAAATAGCAACAGTAACAGTATAAACAGTAATTTAAGTAGTTTCATAAATATTTGTACTCTGGAATTATCATATTCTTTATTATTCTATGTAAATTTTATGATTTTAGTTGCTTCAGGTATACTTTATTATTAAATTAGTGGAAATCAAACTAAGATATTAAATCCTGATGAATTTGGGCGTCTTAGTGGAATACCTGTATAATGAGAGAGAGAAGGATTAGTAATTTCCATTTAATTCCACTACCTTATTTGCTTATCCTTGACAAATACGCGTATTTCGTCTACAATGTGCAGACTTCTTCAGTGTCTTGTACTAATACTCGACTCAACTCGACTAGTACAAGACACTGAAGAAGTCTGCACATTGTAGACGAAATACGCGTATCTGTCAAGGATAAGCAAATAAGGTAGTGGAATTAAATGGAAATTAATAATCCTTCTTTCTCTCCTTATAAGATATTAAAAATGAAAATCTGAAGAAAAAAAAAATAAGGGGCCACATTATGCAACCCTCGATGCAACCAAATCAAAGCGACTTTTTTATATTAGAGGCGATCCATTTATTATGTCACGCTAAATTGAGGAAAAATTATCTGAGATGGTCGGGTTTTCAAGATTCGTCATTTGGCGTGGAACTGCTCAGTTGTCAGTTGTCCTAGGCTAAAGTACATTTGCTTTTATGGCAACAGACTGCACAAGAAATTATTTAAAATTCCTGGAAGTGCACATCTGTGCATTGATTGTCTGACAGAATTTAAATGGAAACTACATCAAAAGCCCCCTTAATGTCCAGGAATACTGAAACCAATTGCTCCTTTTGCGCAAAGGCCAGTTGAATATCTGTGGAAAGCAGCACTAGGCAATCGCTTGTTCCTTTGCCGTTGCGGAACCAAAACTGTAGCAAGTCGATGATTCTAAGGATCATTTTCTCCAACAATTTCCTTATGCATGAAAGCATAGCTATCGGGCGGTATGAGTTATGGTCAGGCCACAGGCAGGCAGACGAAACTCTTTAACTAAATCTGCCTTGAAAATATCGTCATGGAACTCACTAACGACATCTCGTGAGCTATTTCGGAAAGAAGCATGCTTGCGAAGTCTCAAACAATGTTGCATACAAGTTCGATAGAACGTATACAAACGTCAAAGTGATCCGATGCCAACGCTATGGCGGGGCATTCGCGAAACTAATAATATTAAAATTGTCTGTGGTCAGAAGCTGGTTTGCCAGGCTTTTGAATGGCTATTACAGGCAGTACAATGCTGTTTTCTACCCATATCATTTATCCTATTTTATTAGTTTTTGCTCATCTCTGACACGGCACAATTCATACAACGACACGTGCCACTTCTTCTGCAGTACTATACGCCCGACCGTTCCTGCTATACATTTTAAAGTTATTTGCTTATCAAATTATCGATCCTAAAATAGGGAAGTGCGACCATTAGAAGTTAGGGTGTGAAAACAACACGTCAGATATTTGGGGAGTGCGTTTCTTATATCGCAACTTACGGTACAATGGCGATCGAACCACGCGTCGGTCATACCGTATGTGAGGTCAGACCTGTAGAGACCAGTCGCCATGAAGTACCACTTCTGTCGCGTTGCCTTGGTGCTGTTGCAGATCATCTTCGCCGAAGCACTATCTAGTGAGGATGTCATAGAAAGGCATAAACGAACGCTACTGTTGACGACGGATTCGGCTACCGGAATACTGGCGGCTATTGCAATTCCAGTGGACAAGCAAAAACCTGCCGGTGTGGATATATTTTGCTCGTACAATTTCGAGATGAACTACGGAATGACGCAGCTAGCATCGGATTGGACGGATCCGTTCAAGAGGGTGCGATCGATACGGATTGAAATTAAGGAAGCTAATGCTCTAAGGTAGTTTCTCTCGTGGTCGTTCTAGTTTCGAGTGGAACAGACGGAAAATGGACTCGCAGACAGCGGAGCTGGTGGTGGTGAGAGAAGAAAGCGACAGTCGCTGGGATTTCGGCAAACCGATGGCATTACTCGGAGAAGGATGTACCACGTCATAGAGGAACAGCTGTGGGCGTGAGTTGGATCGTATTTAGGTGGGTCCCATTTGAGCTAAAATTCTCCCAATTTCAGTTCAGGATATGATGGAAGAAAATGTTTGTTGAGGGCTGTTTGTGAGGCATCCAGTGTGGGCTTGCATAAACACAATGGTGTTCTTGGTGACTTGATTCAACTAATATTAAGGTAAGATAGCTTGAAAACCAGGATCACTATAAACGCCAATCTTCGAACGCTTAAATCGTCAAAATTGCCTTAACACAGAGTGTCCGTAGAGTCTATTTCAGAAAAGGAAACATCTTTTACAAACTTTCCATAGAACATAAGTTAACAATCTAAAACTTTACTTTTTCGGTTATTAGATTTTTTAACATTTTTTTTTTTTTTTATTTTGCAAAAAATTGTGATTTTTTTTTTCAGTGTGAATTTTTTTTTCTGAAAATGCAGCCCAGTTTCCAACAGCTTTGTTTGATCATATCACTCGTTTTCATGTTATGATTATTAAAAAATATCGAATACTCCATTTTGAAAAATAAGACTAGAGCCAAAATGACCGAATTCCGGCACAAACTTGGTTCATTGCCCCTAGTGAACAATATGCGAATGGAATGGAATTCGGAGAAGGAAAAAATAAAACCTAATCATCAGTTATCGTGGAACTGCTAAATAACAGCCTTAAAAACGCCAAAATAATCTTATGGTTATCGTTTGAATCGCCAAAACTGGCCTTAGAAATGACAAACTGACGTAAAACCGCCAAACTGGTGTTCAAAATGACTGAAATGACATGGGGTATAAATCTCAAACACTACATTAAAAACACAAAAGGCCCTTGAAATCGACAAAATGGCCTTTGAAAGACTCGTTGGGGAAATGTCACCAGCGATTCCCATTCTGACTTCAGCTCTCTATCTTGCTTGACCCGTCCGTGTACCGATGCATGTAGTTGGGGTACGTTCCGGTCAGCTCTGCTACCGATCTCCTAAGGGCTACGGAATTGTTTGTTATCTCCGTACCAGTGAATCTTGGCCACTGTGTGGAGCTCTGCGGTGGCGATTGTACGAATAACTCTGTCCCCCTCGCTGAGGTGGTGGCAGATTCTATCGTTTCCGGCGGTATTTGCTGAAAATGCAGTAACTTTGTTGGCAATGGCTGCATAGATACGGTACCGGAAAGAGAGAGTGCCGGCTTCGACACAGCTTGCATCGGCTGGCGTCGAGACGAGGCTACCGGAGATGATGAGCGTGTAGCTATTGTAAAACGGAGCGAGTGTTTGTATTGGCTTGTCAACGATGGCGCGGGCAACACGAAAACGTATTTCTCTGTTGTTGGAGCGACAGCTGGCCTTGACCCCTTGAAGGTGCTGGTCAAAACTCAGTGACCGGTCAATGACAACCCCCAGCAGTTTCACAGTTTTCTTCAGTGGGATAACTTGTTCACCGATCTTTATGGAAGGTCCGCAGAACCCGATGACGGTAGCGCTCTTTCCAGCAGACAGCTGAAAACCTTTTGAAGTGGCCCATCTGGCCACGGTGGAAACCCCTGCTTGGGCCCTAATCTTCGTTCGTCCCGGAGTCTGACCTGTGGCTACGATTAGCACGTCGTCTGCGTACACGAAGATGTAGATGTTCGCTGGTAACCGCTCGAAAACACTGTTCATGGCTACTGAACCTTGAGGAACGCCAGTTTCCTCGCAGAAAGTGCGGGATTTGGTATTACCTACCAAGACTCGGAAGGATCTGCCAGTCGGGAAATTTCGGACGAAATGGATGATATGGCCGCTAAAACCCCAGCTGACGAGTTGTTTCAGTACCGAGGGCGGACGGTTGAAAGCTTTCGCAATGTCCATGGAAACCAACTCCGTATGGAGACCGTTATCCTTTGTGTCCCTGAGGAGCTCACCAAACGTCGCAAAATACGTGGATTTACCGTTGTCATGGGTTATTTTCTTTGTAAAATCAGCCATGATAGCGGCCATTTGTGGCTTCAATTGATCTTGTCCTTAAGAGAAAACAGGAAAGTTAGTCACGCATCACGGACATTTCGGAATCCAAGATTGCAGCGCTATAATTAAGATGATATCAAAGGGGATGATGCATATATTACGACACGCTCTAAGGGGTAGGGGGGTCCAAGATTTTGTGACAAGCAATGCGTTTCGGTCTCCACTTTAAAGATCCTAATACAATAAAATCACTTTACGTTGCTTATGTGAGGTCAATATTAGAATATTGTAGCGTTGTTTGGTCACCTTATATGAAAAAGCATGAAGAACGAATAGAGTCAATTCAAAAGCAGTTTATTTTATATGCACTACGTAAGTTAGTTTTCCGGGTTTTCCTCTCCCGTCATATGAAGCACGTTGCTTGTTGATCAGTGTTCAAACATTGAAAGAACCTCGGGATTACGCAAAGATTTCTTCATTAAACAATAAAATTTCGCAACGCATTGACTCTAGCTGATCTATTGTCAAATTTGTATGTACCTTCCGACAATTACGCAATCGACACTTGTTCGCAGTCGGACCAATTACGCTAAATTTGGACCGGTAAATCAGATGATGCCTGTTTATAATCATCATTGTGAAATGATTGACCTAAATATGCCCTCAACAGAATTAAAAATATATTTCAGAACCCTGCGAAGTCATGGAACATTAGTCCTAATGTTAATATGTAGTCTACGATTTGATTGATTGACGAATAAATAAATAAATAAATAAATAAAATAAATTAATTATAGAAAAAAAAACGTCACGATAGGGGGAGCCTCCTCGATTTAACGTGACATAATTAATGCATGGGCCCAAGATGGCAATCCCAAGTGACTTGCACTGTCGAATTAATAGCCCTTCGCTCATTTTCAACTTCTATTTAATTTTCATACTGCCATACTCTCGAGGGGGGCGACACATCTAAATCTCAAGTCTAGATGCTCAACAAATCTCACACTAGCGAATAAATCTTCGGAAAAATATTCTTTTATTTCTCGCATCTACTTGCATCGCGCATCATCTTTTTGCAGGAAATCTTCAGAATCGTCGTCAATCTTCTTTCTATCTACTCAGCGTGCGCGCAGCTAGCGACAGCAAAACACAATATTTCCAGCATCGTAGATAGAGTCGTCCCCCTCGCATACTCTAACGGAACTATCTACCTACCCTCTTCTAAGACCATTCTCTAGCTAATAAATTGTCATACTGAAGCTTCAGATCGGACGCGTTGCGGCAAAGTGACAGCTAAATCTATTGTCTAACTGTCAAATTTACGTCAACGCAACGCAAACGGATCTAATGTGGGTGGCCCTTGAGAATCCCAAGGGGGACGACTCTATCTACGATGCAGAAAAGATTGTGTTTTGCTGTGGCTAGCTGCGCACACGCTAAGTAGATAGAAAGAAGATTGATGACGATTCTGAGGATTTCCTGCAACAAGATGATGCGCGATACAAGTAGATGCGAGAAATGAAATAAGATTTTTGGAAGATTGATTCGCTAGTGTGAAATTTGTTGAGCATCTAGACTTGAAATTTAGATGTGTCGCCCCCTTCGGAGAATTCCAACCCCAAGTTCCCAAATTGTCATCTGGAATGCCCCTAAGAATGTTAGCCCACTTAGTGAAAGGTTTTCGTTAGTTGGGCTGAGCTGCTGTCAAAGCTGAAAATTGCTTGCGAATACATCGATTGTCTCACTGCGTCCTAGCAAGAAGAACGGTCGACTTGTTTCGCGCTCCGTTAATTTGGAAGTTTTCTCGCTATTATCTGACGTAAATAATTAGTTTTTTCTCGCTTAGTGATTCCTGGCATAATTCCCGATAAATTTATCAAAAAGTGAGTTTTTTTCTGAGAAGAAAGTGTGTTTTCGGCATCATCGGAAGGAAAATTGTTTTTGCGATTGCTAATTCGCCAACCATTTTGCGCACCATCGGTGCGTGGTCACGCATACCTGTGCACACGGATCATCGTCATCGAGTGTCAGCATCTGCCTCCACATTCAAACCGCTCATCCATCTCGTGTGTTCAGCTGAGTGCCGAGCTTCATACAAGCACACACCAACGAAGACCGCCCGCACACGCGGATCGAAGATCATCAAAGCTGCGCGTCGCTCCGCTGCTGCTGTGTAAACGCTCGGTGGTAGTAGTATAGGATTATCAGATAAGTTTTTGTTCTTGTTTCTTTCTTTCTCCCATCAGTTAAATTTTAAGTTTGTGTTTCTGTGTTTGTATTTTTTTTTTCTCGTGTATTGTGTCCGAGTAATTTTGATTATCGTTGCAGTGGTAGAGCGTTTTTCGCTCCCACTAGTACGGCAAAATGGACATTTTGTCGGAAGACGAAATGGACGTTTTGTCGGAAGATGACACCACTTTGCCACGCGATAGCAAGAAGGGTCGAAAACGTCTGTCATCCCAGAAATCAGATGATGCCATCCCTGCTTCGTCATCTCAGTCTGGTAATGGACAGGGACAGATAAGCCCCCGATCGCGAGCCTACCCAGAAGACTCGACTGGCCCATGGGTTGTTTACTTTCAGCCCAAAAAGAAACCTTTGAATGTAATGCAAATTACTAATGATCTGACGAAGCGGTTCTCGGCCGTGACCGAAATCTCGAAGGTGAGGTACAATAAACTTCGCGTTGTCGTCTCTAACCTGAAACAAGCTAACGAGATTGCTGCCTCCCAGCTCTTTACACTCGAGTATAGAGTGTACATCCCAGCTCGTAATGTGGAGATCGAAGGTGTGGTCACCGAAGCGAGTCTGACCCCCGAGATCTTGGCGAAGCAAGCGGTTGGCCGTTTCAAGAACCCCTTGTACATAACACAGGATGTCAGCCCTTCGCAGCATAATCCCTATCGTGTTTGCTTCTCCGACTTCGACAGTTCTGTTCATTTTGATTTATCAATGACGCAAGAGATTCGCGGAATCCCAGAGCATCATCGTTCCATGATTGCTCCGTCAATTTACGCTGCAAAGTTTGGCCACGTTGATTCCGCAAGATCGTTCTTCACAGATGGATCACTAATAGAGGCGTCCGCTGGTTTTGGTATTTATAACGAATTTCATAGCGCCTCTCGAATGCTTCAAGCTCCTTGTTCCGTATATGTTGCTGAGCTGGCGGCAATACATTGTACGCTAGAAACGATCGCCTCACTTGCACCAGATCATTATTTTATTTTTACGGATAGTCTCA